TACGGGCGGAAAACAGGGGAAGCGAGCGTCGAGGGATAAAATATCCGACCCCTGCGGTGGACGTGAAATGGATTCTTGTCTATGCTACGGTGGAACTAAACAGTGTAGATCGCTTCTAAAGAGGTTCTGGCATATACTACGGTGGGCTTCTTTTTTTACGGTGGACCCCCGAATTGACCGCAAGGTGCAGTACTAGTATGGGTGAATACGAAAACTCGGGAACTCAGCACTCTCGGTTTCTCTCTGCTACTACGTTAAAGGACCTAGTTCCAAAAGTTTGCATTCTGAACAATTTCCAAAAAAAAACGCAGAAAGATGAAAAACATAAAGGTATATCGTGAATAGAAGTTTTATTCTTCCAATTATAAAAACAATGGATCCAACATTGGGAAGAAGGAAGACTGAATGAAATCGTCCGTGTCCATCTCGTGCACCCCGGCGACAATGCACGATGGGTAGGACAATCAGTTTCACATATTAATACAATAAAAAAATTGTATTCATAGCTTCGAAACCTACTAGTCCTACCTTTATTGGACGCGGCTTACTCATCGTCATTCCAAGAGTACCGTTGCGGGACGTTTCTGCGAGCTTTCATCTCTATACTTTCATGAATGGTTTCTAACGCCGCCACCATTGCCGTCTTGAACTCTGATTTTGTTGGAGGATCGAAATTACTGTTTCCTTTTATTGCCTCTGCAAATTAAATATACCACACAATATTGGGAGTTATATGACTAATTATACAAGATCGCATTATGGGAGATAATGACCGTATATAGCGGAAGTAACTTTTGACGTGTTGAGTGCCTCTGTGCCATATCGGTCTCCAAGCCATGTTAAGTGGCTAATTACGCGTTCGGTCATACTTTCGTTTAAGGAGACGGTCACCGCTTCCTCTAACGTAAGACCCCCCAGTGACTTATAATATGCGATCTAAAGAAAGAAAATTACTATAGATATACATACATAGATTACTTATTAATATTATAATATAATTAATTATTGTTTCACTTACGAGGTCATTAAACAGTTCATCGTTTATTTGGTCCATATCTATAAAGTGGTGTAAGTTGTTTAAAGGGAAACCCAATGAACGCAGTACTCTGTTTTTTTTTAACTCAGTCAGCATTAGTCTGAAGATGATGAAGAAGGAGATAGTATTTCAGGTTGATACATTCGACATAATAAATACTTACTGTTGATTGACATTTATGCTTTCCATTGCCTGAGTCAGGGTTCTATAAAGAGAAAAAAAGTATCAGAACGTTATGTTACAAGCGATCTACGACCAGAAATAATATATTCGATACTTACTTTTGGTTATCCTCTAACTCGCGGAAGCGCTGCATTATTGATCTGCAAACATGAGCTATGAGCAATCTTATGAAACTGCAATTGCTAATAAATTTGTTAGCATTGGAGCTCGTGTGTTAACTTGGGCTCAAATTAAATTTTGAAATCTCTAGTTTAATTCATTTTTTATGACAATTCCAACTACATCGATTCTAAACGGATGAAAATCCGTTCCGAAAATGCAAGCTATATGTCCATGCTATCTGGGTAATGATATAGAATAAACGTGCTAACTTACGTGTTCGAGGGTGCAGATTCTGTTTGCCCGCAGCTGTAAGGAAAGTGAACGTCGCTATCCGGGGAGGACTGCGAACGTTCGCTCATGTACACCAACATGTAAGCGTTCGTGCAAGGTTTCGGTCCTTCACCACCATAATTCCATTTGATAGCTTCTACTTCCATACACTTCGAGACAACATCGTCGTCGAATTTGTACCACTGCTTCAATATTAAGTACATACGATCAAAACCATCAATGCGAAGAAATGATTTATAATTACTTAATAACAGAACATGAGCATATACTCTATAAAAGATTAAATTAATTAGTTTAAAATTAAATATTTGAGTGATAGCTACCGTGAAACAAATATATTTCAGGCAATACAGAATAGATTTATAAATTATTTCGAACAACGTATGCTCCGTTATATTTACAAATACTAGTTTCAATCCAAAGAAATTCACATACTTTGCCATCACCGACTGGGTTGATAAATACAACCCATTGGCTGCCACGATTGTCGCCGCTGTGAGCTAAGACCGCGTGTAACCTGTAGTCCGCATTTGTGGCTTCTTTATTTGGTAAGTATTTTCCAAGATTTATTTTTTCATAAAATTCAAACCTTTATAAAATGGTCAAGTTTAGTCGCACGTTGAGTGGGCACCTTTAAAACTACTTAATGCACAGGAATGCGTAATCCTTACCTATCATTACATTTCACAGAACATTTTGTAACTTGGTCGTACTGAAATCGCCTTAAATTTAAAGGCAACACTGGTGAAAATGATAAAAAACTAACACCTTTTTCTACTTCTTCCAATCCACTTTTTCCTTTCAATGTTTCAATACTCAGGTAATCGTCAAAAGATTCATAAACTAAATAAAAATTAATTTGCTACATACATACTGTACATGATAAGTGAAATATTAATTTCTAATAGTAAGTATAACAAAATATTTTCGTAATACTTACTATTTTTCTTGCCGTTAATATTTAACTGTATATCATAGAAAGTGTCAGCTCTAGTCGATTTGCAATCGGAATTTGGAAATTTGATAAACGACTCCATTTTGCTTTCAAATAATTTTGGAACTGTATTTTCTACACATGTTCCTTTCATTTTTCTTTCCAAATCATATAACAGCTAAAATAGTTATGAGTAAGCAACAAGGAATTGCGGAATAAGGAATATTAATTGTAGCAAATTCTTATTGTTTAACATGTATCGTTAATCGTAAATCACATTACTATTGCTTACCCGGTATAAAAATTTTCGTACATCATATTGCGTGTAAGAATCCAATGTTCCCCAACCGAAAGTTCCCGTTACTTTTTTTGCATCTACTGAGTAATCAGACAACTGCAAATCGTCAAAAATCCTTTGTACAGCCAGAGCAACGCTCTCGCCTTCTATTGGCATTTTACAAACTGCTTCACGTAACTGGAAAATAAATTTTGTAAATATTTAAAGGTCTGCATCGGCAAGGTATAAGAATCGTTCATTAACATTGAATGTGCGCCTAGACGTATGTTGTATCTTTTATGAACGTGGTCACTTTATAATTACAATTTATAAATTGATTTCCTTCTAGTATTCATTTACCATTCACTCAAATGTGAGGAAATTAATGCTTGTCAGTACAAGTTAGAACTTGAATCTGTTGTGTCTTATGGGATGTAGTAGGTTCGTAAGGTTGCGCGCCAGACACGACACTCGTGGTACAGCGTTCTAAGATGGCTTACACGTGCCACGTACAAAGCAGTTTTATATCTGATTACATATTAAGCATCCGAGTATAAAGCGTGCAGTTTAATGTGTTTTCAACCTTACGAACCTACTACACCCCAAAATACACAAGTTGGCGACGAGGATGGTGGGAAACACATAATTTTCTATTACAAATCTACGTCTACGGAAGCCACGTGGAAAATTAACCTACAGGGAGGTAACACGTGGAGATTCAACTGAATTTTACAAAATACACGCACGTAAGAAATAAAACTTCACTCATTTATTTACAAATTTTACAAAATGAGTACATTCTCGGAAAGTTTGGCAAGTTCGGGTAACGTCGTGGCGACGATCGCACCTACAAATTTGAATCTACAAATAGGACGTTACGTACAAGGTGAAATGAAATGGGATCGTTGGNGTCCGTGTCCATCTCGTGCACCCCGGCGACAATGCACGATGGGTAGGACAATCAGTTTCACATATTAATACAATAAAAAAATTGTATTCATAGCTTCGAAACCTACTAGTCCTACCTTTATTGGACGCGGCTTACTCATCGTCATTCCAAGAGTACCGTTGCGGGACGTTTCTGCGAGCTTTCATCTCTATACTTTCATGAATGGTTTCTAACGCCGCCACCATTGCCGTCTTGAACTCTGATTTTGTTGGAGGATCGAAATTACTGTTTCCTTTTATTGCCTCTGCAAATTAAATATACCACACAATATTGGGAGTTATATGACTAATTATACAAGATCGCATTATGGGAGATAATGACCGTATATAGCGGAAGTAACTTTTGACGTGTTGAGTGCCTCTGTGCCATATCGGTCTCCAAGCCATGTTAAGTGGCTAATTACGCGTTCGGTCATACTTTCGTTTAAGGAGACGGTCACCGCTTCCTCTAACGTAAGACCCCCCAGTGACTTATAATATGCGATCTAAAGAAAGAAAATTACTATAGATATACATACATAGATTACTTATTAATATTATAATATAATTAATTATTGTTTCACTTACGAGGTCATTAAACAGTTCATCGTTTATTTGGTCCATATCTATAAAGTGGTGTAAGTTGTTTAAAGGGAAACCCAATGAACGCAGTACTCTGTTTTTTTTTAACTCAGTCAGCATTAGTCTGAAGATGATGAAGAAGGAGATAGTATTTCAGGTTGATACATTCGACATAATAAATACTTACTGTTGATTGACATTTATGCTTTCCATTGCCTGAGTCAGGGTTCTATAAAGAGAAAAAAAGTATCAGAACGTTATGTTACAAGCGATCTACGACCAGAAATAATATATTCGATACTTACTTTTGGTTATCCTCTAACTCGCGGAAGCGCTGCATTATTGATCTGCAAACATGAGCTATGAGCAATCTTATGAAACTGCAATTGCTAATAAATTTGTTAGCATTGGAGCTCGTGTGTTAACTTGGGCTCAAATTAAATTTTGAAATCTCTAGTTTAATTCATTTTTTATGACAATTCCAACTACATCGATTCTAAACGGATGAAAATCCGTTCCGAAAATGCAAGCTATATGTCCATGCTATCTGGGTAATGATATAGAATAAACGTGCTAACTTACGTGTTCGAGGGTGCAGATTCTGTTTGCCCGCAGCTGTAAGGAAAGTGAACGTCGCTATCCGGGGAGGACTGCGAACGTTCGCTCATGTACACCAACATGTAAGCGTTCGTGCAAGGTTTCGGTCCTTCACCACCATAATTCCATTTGATAGCTTCTACTTCCATACACTTCGAGACAACATCGTCGTCGAATTTGTACCACTGCTTCAATATTAAGTACATACGATCAAAACCATCAATGCGAAGAAATGATTTATAATTACTTAATAACAGAACATGAGCATATACTCTATAAAAGATTAAATTAATTAGTTTAAAATTAAATATTTGAGTGATAGCTACCGTGAAACAAATATATTTCAGGCAATACAGAATAGATTTATAAATTATTTCGAACAACGTATGCTCCGTTATATTTACAAATACTAGTTTCAATCCAAAGAAATTCACATACTTTGCCATCACCGACTGGGTTGATAAATACAACCCATTGGCTGCCACGATTGTCGCCGCTGTGAGCTAAGACCGCGTGTAACCTGTAGTCCGCATTTGTGGCTTCTTTATTTGGTAAGTATTTTCCAAGATTTATTTTTTCATAAAATTCAAACCTTTATAAAATGGTCANTTTGAATCTACAAATAGAACGTTACGTACAAGGTGAAATGAAATGGGATCGTTGGATTCACAGACTCGAAATAGGATTTTCATACTACAGTATTCCTGAAAATAAAAAAGCGACGTGCCTGTTGTTCCATTTAGGTGCGAAAGCGTTCGATAGCTTATGCGACTATTTAAACGGTACGGATCCGTCAACATTAACGTACGTAGAACTTAAGCAAAAGCTTAAGAATCTATTCGCGCCGAAAGCTATCGAAATTGCTGAAAACTTCAAATTTTACAATCGAAAGCAGCAAGCCAATGAAGACATAAGTGCTTTCACGAATGCTCTAAATAATCTGAGCTTGCAATGTAATTTCGGCGAATACAAAGAGAAAGCTTTGTTGAACCAGTTCGTGGTGGGAGTGAGCGATACACGTCTGCAGAGACGACTTTTGGAAACAGCCGACTTGACGTACGAAAAAGCTGTCCAAGCAGCCGTTGCAATGGAGCTAACAAACAAGGAAGCCAATACAATTACCCAAAACAAAAGTGCTGCAGTTCACGCATTACATACGGACAAGAAAAACGTACCCAAATCACAAAAGAACAACAAGAGAAGCAACAAAGTACCGCCACCGAAACAAGGAACAAAACAGGAAAAAGCAAATACTTCAAACAATTTAAAATGTTACAGGTGTGCCAAATACGGGCATAAGTCAAACCGTTGTAGGATCGACCCGAAAACTCTAACGTGTGGACTCTGCAACAAGAAGGGACACGTTGCGGACGTTTGTTTCACCAATCGTCCAAATACGAACTACGTCGACCAATCCGACAGTGAAGGCGAAGTTGTAGATTTTTACGGAATCGACTACGTAAGCCAGTTGGAGCAGGTTGGCGACCGGGAGAAATTTTTAAAGACTCTACAAGTCAACGGCGTTGCGGTGGTCTTCGAGATCGACAGTGGAGCTGCCGTCTCCATCATGTGGGTCGAAGATGCGCGACGACTCTTCAAGGATTTCATCGTCCACAGTACGCAAACAAAATTAATTACATATTGTAAAACACAAATTCCTGTAACCGGATATATTACGGTAGATGTGCAATACGCGAAATCGACTTTCGAAGTAAATTTGTATCTTACGGCAATATCACGCGCTCCTATCGCCGGTCGCGAGTGGATACGTAAGATGATACGCGCCGGAGGCGCGGAACAATTGTTCGATAGCACGTTTCAAATTAGTAGTGTCGAGTGTAAAAAGGAACGAAAACTTCGAGTTGATAAATTGCTTACGACTTACAATAATTGTACAAAGGATGATTTAAGTAAAATCACGGGCATTACAGCTACGCTTACATTAAAAGAAGATACGCGCCCGGTTTTCTTGAAAGCTCGTTCTCTACCCTTTAAACTTATTTCATTAGTTAGTCAAGAAATTGACCGCCTAGTATCAGAAGGTGTGTTAATAAAAGTAAATTCTTCAGAATATGCGACACCCGTTGTACCAGTTCTAAAGAAGGACAATACAGTGCGTTTGTGCGGTGACTATAGCGTCACACTTAACCCTAATCTCATAGTGGATGAACACCCCTTACCGACTACGGACGAAATGTTTGCATCGCTCGCTGAATGTAAACATTTTTGTAAAATAGATTTAAAGCAAGCCTATCTTCAACTAGAGGTTGATGAAGCGAGTTCGAAACTGCTAACCATAAATACTCATAAAGGCTTATATAGACCTACACGTCTAATGTATGGGGTTGCGTCTGCTTGTGCGATTTGGCAACGCGAAATGGAGAACCTTCTAAAAGGAATCGAAGGGGTTTTCGTACTACTTGATGATATACGCATCGCGGGTAGAACGACAAATGAATTACTAGACAGATTAGAATCCGTCCTTAAGAAATTACACGAGCATAACATTAAAATTAATAAAGAAAAATGCGAATTCTTTCAAGACGAGATCGAATTTTGCGGATACGTGATAAATAAGTATGGGTTGCATAAGAGTAAGAAAAAAATCGATGCAATTAAAAACATGCCTCGACCTCAAAATGTAAATGAAGTCAGATCTTTCATTGGTTTTGTAAGCTATTATAGCCATTTTATTCCAAATGCAAGTAATCTATTACAACCGTTACATAGATTATTACAAAAAGGCATTAAATTCAAGTGGTCAGAGGAATGTGATAAGGCATTTTTACGAGTCAAAAATGAGTTCATGAGTGACAAATGCCTTACTTTTTACAACCCAAACTTACCATTAATTTTAGCAACCGACGCTAGTCCTACAGGAGTCGGTGCGGTATTATCTCACAAGTTCCCCGACGGAACTGAGAGACCAATTATGTGGATTTCACAAAGTTTAAACAGTACACAAAGAAAATATGCTCAAATCGACAAAGAAGCATATGCTATTGTTTTCGCGGTAAAGAAACTACATAAATATTTGTATGGGAATAAATTTACGCTCATTACGGATCATCGCCCATTAACGCAAATATTTTCTTTAAAGAATAGTCTACCGACTTATAGTGCATTACGTATGCAACACTACGCAATTTTTTTACGAGCATACAATTACGATATCGTTTACAAACGTTCAGAAAACAACAGCAATGCTGACGGATTGTCAAGATTGCCAATTCCAATCGAAAAGGGAAATGTAGATGTGATAGACATATTTTACGCTGATACGTTACAGACTTTACCAATATCAGCGGATTTATTACGTTCTGAAATTAGAAAAGATCAGGAAATATACAAAGTAGTTGAAGCCTTACATGCAGGTAAACAACTACGTGCGAAAGATACCTGGAATATCGATCCGAGAGAATTTAGTCTAGAACAAGATGTACT